CCAAGGTGCAGACTGTGCAGAGAAGCCTCAGAGACAGTCTGACACATAGTGGCAAGGTGTAAGAGGCAGACAGGAATAGTATACACTGAATGGCACAACCAGCTAGCTGGCATTGTGTACAGGAACATCACAGCATATGGGCTAGACCCCCTCAAGTCCAGATGGGAGATTCCACAGAAGATCATGGAGAGTAACAGGGCTAAGATCCTGTGAGACTTCCAGATCTAGACAGACAGGCAGCTACTGGCTGGTCAACCAGACATCGTGGTAGTAGACAAGGACCAGAAGACAGCAGTGGGGATAGATGTAGCGGTGCCAAGTGACAACATCAGGAAGAAAGAGTATGAGAGGCTGGAGAAGTACCAGGGCCTAAAGGAGGAACAAGAGAGGATGTGGAAGGTGAAGGCCAAAGTGGTCCCAGTGGTGGTAGGGGCATTCGGGACTGTGACTCCTAAGCTGGGAGAGTGGCTCCAACAGATCCCAGGAGCAACATCAGAGCTCTCTGTCTGGAAGACTGCAGTACTAGGAACAGCTAAGACACTGTGCAGAACCCTCAAACTCCCAGGCCTCTGGTAGAGGGCCCGAGATGGAGGAAGATACATGCCACCCATAGGGATGAGAGGGGATTTTTAAAATATACATACATACATACATACATACATACATACATACATACTTACTACTAAAACTCTTGTGTCTATAACCTTCAACTGGGTGAAACAGTGCGTCACAGGGCAACGATTTTTGAACCAAGGTACCTCCAATGGGCTAACTTACAGAATGCATCCAAAATCTGGGACCCATTACTCCTGTGGGATTGAAATTTGGGGAATTTGTGGCTGCTTCAGCAGTGCTGTGCTGCTGCGCCACTGTGGCCCTCCCAGGTCACATGATCGTTGTGGGCATCTCCTTGACCTTTTCCTGCCTCTCTCTGTCCCCTGCACCCAATCGTCTGGCGGCAGAGCCCAACAGGCGAGTGGCGATTGGCTGCTTTGGAACTGAGGCTAAAATTTGAAATCTCTTCACGGCAGTTGGCGGTGAGGGAAGGACGAGGGAGCGACTCGGATGCCTGCTGGCGAGGTAGGCCTGGCTGGGGGATGCTGGTGGCCAACGGGTGAGCCTGCCTTGAGGGAGGGGCCCTGGGGACACGCCGGAATGGGGAGCGGGGGTGCAGTTTTCCTCATGGTCCGGGGCTCCCTTTGTTCCACCTCCCCAAGGAGGAGGGGGAGGGAGGGAGGGGGGAGGAGGCTTCACTGGGCTCTCCTGAGAGTGGTGAGGGGAGGGAAAATGGCGCAAGCCGATATTATAGGTAGGTAGGTAGGTAGGTAGGTA